GATTTTTGTCTTAATAACTGAATTTTTGACAGCCGTTTGAAATCTGCCTTTACACACTAACAGCTGCTGTCTTGCACACAGGTGACTGGCTTAGTCAATTTGTGAAGCTACATGTGACATTTCCGTTTGCCAATTAGCTCAGTGAGAGAGGATGGTTCTTGGTGTTGAAGATTGTGAGTTCAAGCCTCAGCTTGTGCAACATTTCCATATGAGAAATCTACCCAAACTTTTCATAAAGGTCCAGTCCCATGCCAGATGTCCTCAACTGGAAACACAAGACAATAGTCCTGATGGTGGCGCTACAGCAAGCCTCTAAATTTCAAAACTTTGAAAATTCATAACAAATCAACCATATGTGCTACAGCTTTGGAACTTTCACTTTGAAAGTGAAATGGAAAGCTTTTCCATGGCATGGATGGCTACTGTCTGGCACCCTGATGCTTGGCTTAGTCAATTTGTGAAGCCACACATGAACTGTCACTTGCCAATTAGCTCAGTGAGATAGAAGACGGACCTCAGTCTCAGAAGTTGTGAGTTCAAGCCTCAGCAAAGGCAGAACGGACATTCTAATGCGAAAGTCCTATGTTCAGGCATCATGCTATGTGGATTAGAGACTGCTAAGGTTAAAATAATTATGATCCAGGTAGTTTCGCGGTTAATGTGTCATTGTGGTTGTTTGTGCTGTTTTGAGACCAACAACAGGATACACTAGAGTTTTATTTTAATGAGAATTTAAACTACACATAGGGCCTAACATTTCCCAATAATGGTATAAGTGTTTTTTTCTGCTTAGCCTAATTTTATTTTATTTGTGCAGTTTTGCTGCTGAAAGGTAATGTTGATTTCCTTTTAAAATGAAGCTGTAATGGTGCATTTACAATTTTACAAATAGGCCTATCTCTGCTATGAATAATTTCATTATTGATTGGCATTCCAGTTATTTTCTATATTAAATGTTTGTCTATAAAATTATGTAAAATTCATATTACCTTTCCCCAGTTCCAATCTGGCATCCACAAACATCTCACTTTGTCTGACTAAAGGTCCATCAGTGTTGGAGTTACCTTCGCAGATTTGAGGATATCCTCCTCAAATCTGTGAAGGTAACTCCAACTCTGATGCCTGAAACAGTCAATCCATCATGAAATAGTTGTGGATTAATGTTTATTATGTGTTTGACATATTGATTTATTGACTAATCATTGCAGCTGTAGAATTCCTATAATGAGATAGAAGAAGTTTTAAACATATACCGCAGAGTTGTCTCTTGCTAATTAGCTCAGTGAGATAGAGCATAGTCTCTTATGCTTAGAATGCCACCTTTTTTTCATCTTCCTACACTCTACTTGTTGCTCAGAATTGCCTAATTTTGCCTAAATTGCCCGGCCCCGACCATTGCTGAGCAGCAGCTATAATTTAATTTTAAAATTTAATTCATGTTTCATGTTTTGTATTTTAAATTCTGATAAGGGAATAAGTGACGTGACAACAACAACTCGTAAGGACGTAATTGGCCCTTGCTGCAGAATTAGCATTCATTTGCATTAGCACTCTATGACGAGCCACTTTTTCCTTGTTAGAAACTGGCATCTAATTGATTTCATTTATTTAGTTTGATTACTTTAGTTTTCTATAAATGTATCATATATTAGTAATTAAATAGCAGAAATGTAAATAATTGTATTTTACAGACAGAAATTTTAATGTTTGAGTAACACTTCTACTTTAAATGAATTATTGGATTTTTAGGTATTCTAAAGCTACTGTACAAGTTCAAAAGTAGTTTTTTTTATAATACATCTTTAATTAGCATCATAAACTACTGATATCTAACAAATTACTATCATAAACTGCTGATATTTGACATAATTGGCCTATAACAGAAAGGCTCTTAATAGGAGTCAAATGGTGTAACCGGTTACACCATTTGACATTTCATTTTAAAATCAAATTTGACAGGCATTACCATGGACACCTGTGTAAGCACATGGCCTTAGTCTCAATATTTAAACATAATTTTTAAAGTAAATATTCATTTTAATGATTTTTATGGATTATTAATGTTTTTCTAGGGTCATACCATTTGACATGTAAACTTACCAAACCTGACCAGAGTCTTAAAACCTCAATTTATTAGTAATTTTAGGAGATTCTAACCTTTACATGCAGCAGTTGTGATCATCAGGGGTCCTTCTCTGTAATACCATTTCCTGTCACATGACCTTCTTTACAGTATTAACAAAACAGCCTCTTAAATGGTAGTTACACCACTTGACACTTCATGTAGTTTACCTGACTTTCATGATTCCCCAAATTAAATTTCATATTTAGAACAATCGTGTTCCATTACCTTTATTGAATATAAAAAAGTAATAATTTAAAAATCATGCCAAACTAGTTGATATGGTGTTTTAATGAGAATTTAGTGTTTTTAAGCAAGTTTAATTATTTGGTGCAAATTTTTATGGTTACACCCACCACTTAGACATTTTTGCCATTATCCTCTTATATATTCTCTCAAAATATATTAAAAGCAGAAATTTTATACTGGATCCACACAAAATTAAAGTCTGTAAGTTAATCATACATTTATTTTCAAATTTTAACCCTTTTAAATCTGACTAAACCATATGGACACAAAAAAAGTAGTGTCACGTCATTGACCCAGGTATCGGGATGAGATCCTCAGGCACAATGTAAGACCATATGCTGGTGCAGTGGGCCCTGGGTTCCTTCTGATGCATGACAATGCCTGGCCTCATGTGGCTGGAGTGTGTCAGCAGTTCCTGGATGACGAAGGCATTGATGCTATTGACTGACCCGCCCGTTCCCCAGACCTGAATCCAATTGAGCACCTTTGGGACATCATGTATTGTAGCATCCACCGCAGCCAGATCACACCACAGACTGTCCAGGAGCTGACTGATGCCCTAATCCAGGTCTGGGAGGAGATCCCCCAGGAGACCATCCGTTGTCTCATCAGGAGCATGCCCAGACGTTGTAGGGAATATATAGAGAAACGTGGAGGCCATACACACTACTGAGCTACATTATGAGTTGTCCTGAGGAAATTCACAGAAGTTCAATTAGCCTGTGATCTGATTTTTCCACTTTGATTTTGGGTGTGATTCTGTGATCCAGTCCTAAATGAGTTAATGATTTTGGTTTCCATGGATTGTTCTTACATTATTTTGTTCTCAACGAATTACACTATGTAATCAGTAAAGATTTTCTTTTGGAATATTTCATTCATCAAGATCTGGGATGTGTGATTTCAGTGTTCCCTTTATTTTTTTGAGCAGTGTATTTGGGGAAAAATATTGTATGTTACCAATTACATTTATGCTTTTCCTGCTATGATAAGCCAAAAAATTGTACAGTGAAAAAGGTCTGTTTCTCAGTTTAGTGAGATAAGATGGCTCCAGATATATTGTGAATGAGCTAAGCTGCTGTTAATTTGATTTGTACGAGTTGTAGGTGTACAGTATAAGATCTGATGCTGCGGTGCTTATTTAGACAGGTTGTCTGCATGTCTGAAAAGCAATGATGTGCGAAAGAAGAGAATATAATTGAAGACTTTACTGGGACTGCATTACTGCAGTATGCCTTTTTCTTGTCATAAGAAGGCTTACATGTGAGGAAGTATTAGTTGATATCCTAATTTTGTCAGCACAACGAACAATAAGTGATTGATTTAGGAAGTCCTCCTGTTTATATGGAAAATTGATGTGGGTGGTTTTGGGGCCTTCCTTGAACTGTAGAACTGATCAACTAGATTAGTGCCGTTAACAGATAAAACAAATCTGAATAATATGTATTTAATTGGCTGCTTCAAGCATGCTGTACTGCATAAAAGCTTTGGTTAAAGTGATGAGAAATCCATTATCAAGCAGGAGGCTCTGGAAAGAGAAAATAGCAGGTGTTACATTTCTGCTGTTTAATCTTGTGTTGTGGTGCTGCTGAACTGACAGCTCTGTTTAAAGTGACCTTATCTACATCCTTTCAACTTTCTTCAATATTCTTTTAAGTGTCTCTTAGTCACTTCCCACATCTCAAAGCTATGTGAGTGATTGTAACAATGAAAAGAAATGGCAATGTGTTCAGATTTTTAGGCTACAAAATGTTTTCATGAAGATGGTGTCACAAACATATGCAAGTCACATGGATGCCACATAGTGAAGGAAATCCAACCAAAACAACATACATCTCCAGGTGGCATGGAGCATAGACACTACACTAGATTAAATATTCATTTGTTAATTTGGTTTGATTTTGGATGTCAGTGATGAGTAAGGGCTCATTTATGCTCAACATCAGAGACAGAGACATACGGGGCCTTCTGTCCATTCTTTGCGTTTATTTCGTCCATATTTGTGCATGTTTTCTTAAAGTAGCAGAACCACCGTAGACCATGGAGGCAGTGTAGCGTAGTTCAAACAAGATACGACTGTAGGAGATGACAAGGAAATTTTAAGTAATGGAACGGATCCAGTTCATAATATATAATAATAAATAATGAAAATAGAGAGAAGAACCCTTCCTCTATCGAGATGTATGGAATGGCTGCACAAACCACTGCCATCTACAAGGCTGGTTCTGTTTAAAGGTACAGCATTATGACCTCCTTCACCGACGCCTTATTTGTTGTGTGAAACGTTTGTTACTGTCCTCTAGTGCCATCTATTGGCTGTATCAATGCTATCATAGAGGGCACATGGAAGTATGAGGACAGTGACGTTAACGACATTTGAAACGGACATACTGTGGTATGCAAAACTTTGGGCACCCCTGGTCAAATTTTTGTTTACTGTGAATAGTTAAGTAAGTAGAAGATGAACTGATTTCCAAAAGGCATGAAGTTAAAGATGCACCATGCTTTTCAATATTTTAAGCAAGATCAGTGTATTTTATTTTGTACAATTTTAGAATGAAAAAAAGGCAAGAAGCACCATGCAAAAGTTTTGGCATCCTTATTTAGGGCTATGGCTTGTTCACAGTCATGGTAAAAGGCCAGATGATGCAAATTTCAAAGCGTTATAAATATTCTGACTCCTGAAACCTTGTCCCAACAATCAGCAGTCATGGGCTCCTCTAAACAGTTGTCTAGCACTCTGAAAACTAAAATAACATGCCCACAAAACAGGAGAAGACTATAAGAAAATAGCAAAGTGTTTTCAGGTAGCTGCTCAGTTTGTAATGTAATTAAGAAATGGCAGTTAACAAGGAACTGTGGAGGTCAAGTTGAGGTCTGGAAGACAGAAAACTTTCCAAATGAGTTGCTTGTAGGATTTTTAGAAAGGCAAATAAAAACCCTTGTTTGACTGCAGAAGACCTGTAGAAAGATTTAGCAGACTCTGGAGAGGTGGTGCGCTGCTCTACTGTGCAGTGACACCTGTATAAACAGGTTTAAATTAAATCACTGTTTTTCTCAATGGAGTCTGGCTTTGAAAAGAGCAATACAACTGCTTCATTTTCCCATTGGAAATAAAGTAAAGCGCTAACAAATACTCTCAATATAGTGTACAATAGGTGGGACTTTTTTGAGGTGGCTAAAATACATTTTGTGGCTGACCCCTCCACAGTCAGCATGTAGGAAGCTACATTGTTTAACCTCCATGTCAGACTCAAGCCTGCTTCTCCAAACTGGGGGTGTGACAACTAACATCTACTGTATTTAATATACGGATAAGTATCTCACACAACCCCACTTAAAAAAAATCTTAAATATCCCACTAAGCAACACTGACAATATCTCTTTATTGTCCATATTGTTTTTCTGCAGTTTCAACCATGGGAGTCAGGTCAACTTACTGTGTAGTGCACTGTAGACCAGTCAGTCTTAAGGACTGATTCCTCTTTTGTATAACTGCTGATTGTGTGTTTGTTTTCAGAATAATTGCAGTTTCTAATGGCCAGGTGAGAGGAGATACATATGGAGAGGGCTGCCTTGGCAGGACAGGTGTGTTTCTCTCAATATGTGTTTGAATGTGTGTACCAATTAGAGTTGCAGCGTTTTGAGATTTTCATGGTACGATAACCATCTCAGAAAATATTGTGGGTTATTTTTGGTTGAACAAACTATTTAGTTCTGTTGCATTTTTTCCCCCCAGTATCACAGATAAGTAATGTACTTGGTGTGATAACTATCAGCTTTTATATCACGGTGTACCTTACAACTGGTATATTGCTGCAACCCTAGTACCAATACATAGTATTGGAGTTGACTGCTTCCTTTAGCACAATGAAGTTTATGGATGCATGCATGTAAATTACTCAAACATCAGCTTGAAAGCTCTGAACTCAAGTCATACAAAAACAAACGTGAAAAGATCCTCTGTAGCTGCTACAGAGTGAGCCACAGATATGGGTGGAACTAAACATCGGAACATTTCTTCTTCACCATCTTCACTTTACGTCACCTTACTGGAGCATTTAAAAGACTCAGATATTTTTGTCTGCTTTTCAGGTGGTTGACGCAACATATTTTCCGACATGTGTTCTCTGTCTGCTGGTGGGAGTGTGCTCACCTGTGTGTGCACGTACATGTCTGTGTGTGCATCAGGACGGAACTCTGCCGTGAATCATCATACAGAGAGCAGAGGAGAATTGTAAATGCAGAGACAGAAATGACATGCCGTCGTGTGAATAAGATAAATAACATAAGGCTATTTAGTTTGTTTAATAAAAGGACAAGGTATAGACCTGTTCTATGGGTGCATCAGTATTTAAGTAGTCTCAGTTTTGTTTTTTCAGTCACATCCAAAAAGCAGCAGCAGCTTTGGTATCAATTTATTAACAGTTTGCAGTAATCAGTATGCTGCTATGTTTCAAAAAGAGAAATCACGAGAGGGAGGAGATGGCTTCACTAACCATCCACACATACCATATGCACATAATGTTATAATGCAGTGTAACTAGCACAGCAGAGCACAAGAGTGTTCTGTTGCCCCTGTCACATGCAGTGTTGGGCAGTAGTATCAGTACAAATTGTGACATTACTAACTTAACTACATTTCTCAGTAGCGTGGCAGTAACGTCACTACTTTCTGAGTCAAATAGCTTTTCAGTAGCAAAGTTGATTAACTGACTGAGTAGCGCCTTGATGTCCACAAAAGTTACAAGCTCTTTTTCCAGGAAAAACTCTGAAGTACAGCAGACTTTTTTCTGCGGAGGTCTGGATAAAAGTACGGATAATTAAACTGAAGATAAGTAATAAGACTGACGCCAGCACTTGCAAGTAGCAAGTTACTCTTGCCATTTTCTGGTAGCTTAGCTTGCTACATTTCTCTGGGGATAGCTTCAATGAAGTGAAACTTGATGTAGAGTAAATGGTGGCTTAGCTCACTACATTTTCCAAGTAGCACTGGTCACATGACACTGTCAGCTGCTGTGTGCGAGCGGTGGTTAATTAAATTATTCATGAATACAAATAAAATTGCTAAAAACAATATATTTGTGATATATTTGTTATGTGAAAGAGAACTGTGTGTGTGTGTGTGTGACTTAGGATAAATCATGTGTGCCCACAACACAGCTGGGAGGGAGGGTGCACCTGTTTTTTCCTGGTTAAAGGGTTTTTTCAGGGAGTTTGTTCTTATTCACTGTAAGGGACAAAGGACAGAGAGATGTCCTACACTGTAAATCCTTTTGAGGCAAGTTGTGATTTGTGATATTTATGATATTTTTTATTTTCTGAATAAAATTGAGTTAAATTGAATTGTAATTGAGCTTCTGCCTATCACAATGTCTGTGCATGTACCTGCCTCAGGTCAGCATCTGATCAAGCAGTCAGTATCCCTTTTTACACAGAGATGGCGCTATAGAGCTACAATGAAAACTCTTTTTCACGCCGCCTTTGCATTTTTCCACAGAACCCAATGACGACGACATCATTCTGCTCCAGTGTTTGATTTTAGACAGCATGCCGGCATCATGGAATCGAAAGAGGCATGACAGGCATGACATGTTACACAACAGCATCAGCCTCTAGTGTGACATGTAACTTATGCGTCAGCAGCACTTTATAAAAAATGACAATGTCATAACATGTCAATAACAGTCATTTGGCTGCTGTTCTTCTTTGAGTTAGCCGCTACTTTTTAAATCTCCTGTGTGGGTTGCACACATAACAGGCCAGCAAAACATCACACCCGTGCTGCCCATGATCCCATCCTGTCGGCTGTCCCGTTTAGACATCTTCTCAGCGCTGTTACTGACTTTGATGCTGGCATGGTAAATGGCCATTCTAGTCTTCTTGACCACTCAAAGCGCTACTGAGTCACATTCACACACACATTCACACACTGGTGGTCGAGGCTGCCATACAGGGTACCACCTGCTACTCAGTAACCAGTCACACACACTCACATAGCCATTGTGGGCAATTTGGAGTTCAGTATCTTGCCCAAGGATGCTTCGACATGCGGACAGGAGGAGCCAAGGATCGAACACTCTGAGCCACAGCCTCCCCTAGTGGAGTTTCTAGTGGAAATACTACTTCTATTTTCTCAGCCATTTGAGGATAGCTTCCTGCTCTTAGACTACCACTAGACAACTGTCATTATGTATTAATACATCCTTTAGGTTGATTTATATATATCTGTATTTAATGCATGCAAAATATTTTCATACCTTGCATTCTAAAATACTCTTCGTATTGACCTTCTTTGACACAGGCATCGTTGCTCTGCTTTAATTTGATTAGCTTATGATCAAAAAGATCAAGTCGGTGTTTTCAGCTGTCAGGGTGTGAAGACTAACTCATGAGCTAATGAAAGTGATTAGCATTTCTGTGTCTTTGCAGGAGCTCGTCTTTGGCTGTTTATCGGCTTCATGATGATGTTTGGCTCCCTCATCGCCTCCATCTGGATCCTGTTCAGTGCATGTGGTGCCAAGTGAGTGTTCCTTCACTTGAACAGCACATTTTCTTACTGTCTCATTATTCTGTCTTCACCACTTCCTATTGCCCCTGCTGCTTGTCTTGTTGTACTTCCATTCATACTGGTGTACTGCAATGCTTTGTCTTTCAAGTAACTTCATCTTTCTGGATGATTCTATCAATATCAGTCATGCAATGATTATACTGTATGTATATATTTTAATACTTAACTTTTTGTCACATCAGTGAATATTCATATTGGTTTCTTAATATGGTCTTACAAAAGACTAGTTAGCCAATTCAGCACAAAGACAGACAACGAGATAACTAAAGCCCCTTTTACAGTGCCTGTTCACTGCAGGAATGTTGCAACATTATTCTGCCCTGCCGTTCTGTATGAAAGGCACGATCACCTAATGTGGGACAGCGTTGTCTCACCTTTAAGCTGGCAGCAACGATGGTAACAGCGCTGAATTGATGTTTTGCATTTAAGGGACGGCCTACAGGATAGGACAGGTTTTTTTTTCCAATTATTTATTTATTTGTTTTTAAATTTCTATAAACACCCTCAAATGAGCACATAGACAGTGAACAAGATTAAATCATAATAATAATAACTAAAAGTATAAGAAGAAATGAAAAAAAAGTTATAATAATATCAAGAAATAAAAACAACTCAGGACGCTGGCCGACACTGCAGTTCATCTCTGTCAAAGTCAGATACTGAACGCAGGACTGAGATGGCATATCCTTCATAAAGTGTGGGCGCTGGAATGACCTATTTCACATTTTGTACCACATCGTTTTTCCCCGAGATGGCGCTGGAGAACGCATCAATTATCTGTCAAGTTTTTTACATCAAATATAGACCACACCAATGTAATTTCATGTAAATCAAAAGATGAGTGTCTGAAAAGATGTACTTCCTGTTGCCCGTAGTTGGCGCTATGTCTATGACTGAAAATTGTCACATAGATGTGTCCAGGGTGGGACTATTATTAAACATGTGAAGTGTGGTGCAGATTGAACCATTTACTCCAAAGGTATAACAATTTTGTGTTTAATTGTGAGATATTGAAACCTGATGCCACAACATGGCCACACCATTCAATGCTGACCCTGGAGAATGCACTATTGATTATCCGCTGTGAGGGTCCAAAGGACAGAGGGATGTTGTATGCTGTAAAGCCCTCTGAGGCAAATTGTTACTTGTGATATTGGGCTTTATAAATAAAATTGAATTGAATTAATGATTTGTCATGATTTTTGTGCATCAAATAAACCACAGCATGTAAATCCAGTCACATCAAAATATAAATGTCTGAAAAGACGTACTTACTGTTGCCAGTAGGTGGCGCTATGTGTAATGCTGAACATTGGCATATAGATGTGTTCAGGGTAGGACGTCATCAAACCTGTGAAGTTTAGGGAAGATTGGACCATGTGTGCTGGAGTTACAGTCCACTTCTTGTTCGGCGACACATGGAAGTTTAACGCCTTGCCACAGTCACACAGTTTGACAAAAAGTCAAGCTTGTAATAACTTTTCTTCTTCAAGGTCTTTCAGTGGGACAGACCAAGGTTTGAAGTCGATTGGATAAAATTTCTAGGACAAGTTCATTAATTTACGAGGCCTTGAAATGGGCAAAACTGCACAAAAATGGGGCGGCAGTAGTTCAGTCCATAGGGACTTGGGTTGGGAACTGGAGGGTCACCTGTTCAAGTCCCTGTCCGGACCAAATATGGAGCGTGGACTGGTAGCTGGAGAGGTGTCAGTTCACCTCCTCCACTGCCGGGTGCCCTTGAGCAAGGCACCGAACCCCCCCAACCGCTCGGGGCGCCTGACCAAGGCAGCCCCCTCACTCTGACATCTCTCCACTTGTAGAGTGGCCGACTTCCTGTTGGTTTTAGAGAATGAGTCCAAGAGGCTTTTTGTACGTCTTGGAGTGTTACATGTGCCTACCGAGTTTCGTACATGTAGATCAAAGCAGCTTCGGGGGCTGTTTCATTGAAATTTTGTTGGGGGCGCTACTTCCTGTTTCATAGCGGTACACCTGAGTTTGGCGCCTTGCCACGATCACACAGATTGATGAAAACTTCAAGATCTTCCAGTGGGACGGACCAAGGTTTGAAGTCAAACCAGCTTTGGGGGCTGCTTTGTCAAAATTTTGTAGGGGGTGCTGTTGAGCCATCTTGTTACATCAAAGCACAAAAATCACATCACACAGCAGAATTTGGGACCTCTGATGTGTGTGCCACGTTTGAGTTTCTAACCATTCGATGCCCCTTTAAAAACAACTTTGTGCTTTATGGTGAATAAGGTGTTGCCATGGCGAGAGTAGCCCTTCTTAGATAGCAATTGTGCAAATTTGCAGGAAAGCCCAATCAGTCTTTTTTCAGCATTGGCAGTATAAAAACAAAATCGGGGAGTGCGGCAAAATGCCGCCTGCCTACTTTTGTTTATACAGAATGTGCCTTTTTTGGGGTAGTGGGGGGTGTGAGCAAGTAACAAAATGTGTAGCTCAGCATGTGACACAAACAGTGACGTGGGAGGGAAGCCGCGGCTAGTCAGTCCTTTTTTCACTGTCCCCGTCATCTGACGGTTAATGGCCTCTTCGTTTGCGAGGGTAAGGAGGGTGCGCAATTCCTTGTCTCTCCAGTTGCTTTTTTTACAGTTTTTTTTTTCTTTACATCTTTACAGTGTCTGTCAGGTTTGCGTTTCCCTCTTGCTACTAGCTGCTCGCTAATTTCTGCTATCAGCTGTTTCCTGTTTATCCACCTCCAGTGGCTCGCATGTGCGGCATCATCAACAGCTCCTTCTACAAGTCTTCAACAGCCCCTCCCGTTGCGGAAGGCCGCCTTGGTCTGTTTAAACTAAAAGGGTTCCACCAATATGACTACCCTACGAGGCGAAAAATTGGGCACCTTGGATCAACTCGCCAATCCGGCTCTGTGTGTCTAAATGCTCACAGCTTGCCGGCAAAACGGCCCAACATTCACGGAAAATCTGGCAGTATAAAAGGGGCTAGTGTTTGGCAAAGACTCAAGAGCCTCATTTTTGAGATTAATCAAGGTCTTAGAACTTTTTATCAGAAAATTTGAGGTGGGTCTCTCTGTACACCGCGCTCATGTGTGTGCGCTTGCTCACGCAAGACAAGACCGTGAGACATGGGCACCACGTTCATGTGTGTTCACGTGCTTTCGTGGATCTCGCGCGCACACGTGAGCACGGTGCACAGAGAGGCAGTTAGAGCTACAGGCTACAATGAGGCTAAAAACAGAGTTCAAGTGACGTTTTTCCAAACACCTTTTTATGTTGGGGCTTCAGGACACTTGGATCACTAAGGACAAGCAGTATGAAGATATTTTGTGGTTTCAATTACGTGTTTTTGGATGTTTGAATCTGGGGCGCCGTAAGCCTCCATTAGGTGGAGTTGTGTTGCTACCCCCTCTCCCCTTGGATCTATGCAAGTGTTGTGAGGACTCTACAACTTCACCTGAGCCTCCCTCGGCATGTGGGTGAGTAGATAATGGCTGAATTTTCATTTTTGGGTGCACTATCCCTTTAAGACCTTCATGACTACATTTGAGTTGGATATGGTAAACCTGCCAGGAGGAGCATGTTAAAGTCTGAAACATGTAATTTCCTGTCGCCACTAGATGGCGCTATGACTATCAGGAAATATGGTTATATAAATGTGTTCAGGGTGGGACTAAGTTTGTTAAAACACATGGGAAACGTCAAAAATGACCGCGGAATTCAAAATGGCCAACCTTCTGTTGAGTTTAGGCATTGGGTCCAAGAGACTTTTTTGTGCATCCGGGCATGATACACGTATGTACCGATTTTCGTGCATGATGGTGAAACATGCCGTGGGGGCTACTCTTTGAGGGGCGTGGTCAAGCCATTTTGCTCCGCCCACCAACGGAAACCATATCGCATGTAAATTTACAAAGCGACTGAAGCACATGCAAAAAATATGTTAAAAACCCCCTAAAAGGCGATTTACCTTGAGGAAAATTAATAATAATTCCTTAAATTTCAATAGGGCCTTTGCCCGCATGTGGTCGGTGCACAGGCCCTAATAATAATGGTCAGTGGAATTGGCTCATTTCTTCACAGAGTCAGAGCATACGTAAGCTGGCCAGGTGGATAGTTAGAGATCCAAAAGGGGTTCCCATGTTCTCAGGAAGACTTCCAGCTTGTTTTTTAAGTACGTTTTTGCAGTTGCATTGTGTCATTCAAAATTTGTTTGAACAAGTTAAATGTTGGGGGTCTTTGCTGGTTCCAGTTGAGCAAAATGCACTTCTTTGCTATATATGATATTATGCCAATCCGCTTTGCTGACATTGGGTCTAGCTTCCTTTTCAGTTCCATACCAAAGAGGTACTGTACTGGGGAAATGTCAGATGGAATCTTCAAGACCTTAACAGCCAAATCATGCACCTCTTTCCAAAAATGTTTTAGTTTTCTGCATTCACAGCAAACATGAATGACTGACCCTGTACATGTTTTACATCTGTGACATTTAGAGTTAGGATATATCTTACTCAGACGTAATGGGGTAAGATACGTCCTGTGCATAGATTAATAGCTCTTTTCAATTATTTTGTTTCTTGACAATAAAGAGAAAACGTTCTGACATATACATCACTCAGTCTGAAACAGAAAAACTCATTAACCAAGATAACAAAAGTCAGCAGTACAATCATAGGCACTCAGCAAAAAACCCTTTTATAAGTTAACAGTAGGATTTTAAATTCAATTCTGGATTTTACAGGGAGCCAGTGCAGAGAAGCTAAAACAGGAGAAATATGATCTCGTTTCTTAGTTCCTGTTAGTACATGTGCTGCTGCATTCTGAATTAGCTGGAGAGTTTTTAAGGACTTACTAGAGCTACCTGATAATAGAGAGTTACAGTAATCCAGCCTTGAGGTAACAAAAGCGTGGACCAATTTTTCTGCATCTTTTCGGGTCAGAATAGGCCTAATTTTCGCAATATTGCGCTGATGAAAA